CTGAACAATATAACAAACACTTTTCACTATTTATGTTATGAAATCCATGTGATAGGGGGTGAGCTTATTGCCAAATACCTAGCACAATTCCAGACTCTGTGCTACTTGTAATATTCTTAAAACCTACTAATACTTTACCCAACCCTAGAATCGATACGACCTTCAAACCTTCAAGAAAAGAGCGTATTCCTTTTCCTTAAAGGCCGGCAAAGCACCTGTGACTCCTCTGGTGTTGCGGGTGTCCATGGGCGGCGCTGATCGCTTACCATCAGGTGATCCGTCTGCTCGTTTGCTTCCTATTCAAAAAATATCGGACTCGAGACCTCTTGCCCAGCAGTGGTGACTAGTCCCCCAACGAGGCAGCGCCAACAAAACTGTCTCATAATAATACGTTTCAATACATAGAAATAGATAACATCTAGTATAGTTTATACAACCCCTAGGGGATGTGATACAGACGTTTTAACTTTATTTATTTAAACCCGTTTATTTATATTGACCACGTTAGTTTCGACCCGTTTAGTCCCCAAAGTAACTTGTAGTCCTAGTATTAGTAAATTCGTGACATTTATCGCCATTAGTCTTCAGGGTTGGAGTTTTAGTTTCTTTCGAGTTTTGACTTTGATGTATTAGTTTAGTATTTTTGCGACTAAAAAATTGTTCGTAACTTTTGATGTAAGGGTGCTATTTGCTGGGTAGCGACAGGAAACTTTTGGTATGAGTTTAGGCTTGCTAGATAAATGGTTTCAAAGTCTTGAGTAAGGAATAGAAAAATTAATGGAGAAGTCATTGATTCTATTGAAACACACGAGAGGTTATTTATCATTAAATATATCACAAAGGTAATCTTATAATGTAAGCCCCACAAAACAGTTGCAATTGTTTGATTGTGGGATCAACAGAATAGTCTCTAGACGTTACAATTAAATGTACTTATAATTAAATATTTTTTCTTCACTACATAATATAAAACAAAGTCGCTATCCGCCGTTTGTCTATCCCTTTGTATGCTTATATCTTTAAAACTACACAACTAATTTTGATTCGTTTTTAAATTTTTTGTAATAGATAGAGTGATTCTTAAGGAAGGTTTATATGTATAATAAATGCATATTGGACCCTTGTCCGGCAGTCGTACTTGCGACCACTCGGTCAACGAGGCATAAAATACATACATAAATATATATCGATGAAGACCTAGACAAAACCTAGTAGACCAGAGCATTATTATACTTGCTACTATCGTACTATCCTACTTAATATTATAAATGAAAAAGTTTGTGAAGATGTATGGGTATGCTTGGTACATTTTCACATAAATATGACTGAAGGGATCGAGATGAAATTTGGAACAAGGGTAGATGATGTATGGAAAAACACATAGGCTACTTTACTTCCACGGGCACGCGAGCGAAACCACTGACAGACGCTAGCAAACTATAATATAGAGTATTTCATAAAACAAACAAATAAATAAATAAAAGTATCAAATAACATTGTATAACGAAATAAAATCAATAACAATGACTTGGTAACAATTCATAAATTGCTTCGAAAATTGTAACTTACAGAAAATACGTCGAATCGATCCCATCTCATTATCGTATACCAAGAAATACTGGAAACGATATAAATATAACTATAAGTTGTCAACAATCTGAATGCCACTCCAATGGGTCTTCAGCGAAACTTTTCGAGAGCGATGTAAAACTTGTCCTTAGTAATAAACTGGCGTGTCTATAAAATTGGAACTGTCACAGTCTTGACACTTTTAGCGAAACAGATTTTAGATCCTTGGTAAATTTTGTAGACACTATTGTTCGTGTTATTGTTTTTATCTTGATTGAGGGCATAGTATAAAGAACAAAGTAGGTTATCTTCATACAAATGCTCCGCGCGCGGCTTATATGTGTGCGCCATAGTATCTATGCGTCGACGCACGCACACTTTAACAAAATCTCGACCCGTTTCTCAGTGCGCCAGGCAGGGCTGACACTGTACGAGGTTCGCGCGCGCTTCACGGCTTTTCGGCACTGTTCAATGAAATAAAAAATGTCTGATAATCGTAGAAGAACGTATTGCTGTGTGTTTGGGTGTCTTAATAATTAATCGATTCCAGAACTGTCTCTGTTCAGATTAGGTACCTATTTATTGAACAGGAAAGGTAAGCTAGTCACGTTTTCTAGCATAATATAATTTGTAGGTACTTGATGATGAGATAACTACTTACTTATTCTTACTCTTATCATTCTTCATAGTTCCTACTCAACCAGAAATGTAATTACCTACTATACTTAAATATTATAAGAAAATGTGGTATTGTATTGTTTATTTCACAGTTTATCTGATTTGTTAAGAGCGTAGCCGAGTTGCATTTTTCCATATAAATGTATTCCCAAATTTACTTTCTGAATACTATGTATAGAGCTAAAGTTTATTTTAAGAAGTTAATAATCTTTTTATAAGCTTTTAATTTTTACTAAATTTATAAATTGATAAAATATTCAATCATAATATGCTTTTCATTTCATAAATTTAGATCAAGTGCTGCTTATTCGAAAATATTAACTAAAAGTAAAAGTGACAACCCTGGGGATCAACGCAAGAGTAGGCTAATAACTCGGCGGGCGGCCTTAGATAACCTACTGTGTTCTTTATACTATGTTGAGGGTGTAGTAAAGGTTATAGGTACTGACCGATTAATATTTTTATCATATTTTTTTAATGGCATAAGCCGGTAAACTAGCAGACAGATCACCTGATGGTAAGCAATCGGCATCGCCCATGGACACCTGGAACACCAGAGGCGTTACAAGTGCGTTACCGGCTTTTTGGGGATTAGGAGTTTGAGGATCGTTGGGGATTCAGGGATTGGGGAGATTGAGGAAGGGGAGGGTAATTGAACCTCCGGTAACCTCACTCACACGACGAAACACAACGCAAGCGTTGCTTCACGTCGGTTTTCTGTGAGGCCGTGGTATCACTCCGGTCGAGCCGGCCCATTCGTTCCGAAGCATGGCTCACCCACACTTGAAGGTCCACAATTCAAAGAAGGTCGTGTTAGTTACATTATTTATAACTCAAGAACGGTTAAATCGATTATGATGGCTGAATATTGATCGGGCGTTAGCTTAGAACCAGGAGACGGACATAGGATACTTTTTAACCGACTTCAAAAAAAGGAGGAGGTTCTCAATTCGACCGTATATATGCCTTTTTTTTTTTTATGTTTGTTCGCCGATATCTCCGTTGTTTATAAACCGATTTTGAAAATTCTTTTTTTGTTAGAAAGGAGATAGTTCCAGAATGGTCCCATGATAAGGAAATCAGGATCTGATGATGGAAGACCAGGGAAACCGAGGGGAACTTTTAAAAATTATAGGGGTGACTAGGGCATTTGTTAATTTTTTCATTAAGTATTAAAAACCACTACAATCTGATAAAGGTCTGGAGCCGATCTGATGATGGAGCCGAGAGCCAGTTGAGGGAACTCCTCAACGGTTAATGTTACTGATACGGACGGAACGGTTATTGATACGGACTTTACACCTAGATGGGGGGGGGGGGTGATGGTCATTAAAGGTCCAATGACGAAGTAGTATGATAGCTAAGGGACTCCTCAATGGTTAAGAGTACCCACCCGGTGTTTGAACTTGCATAATTTGTATTGATGAAAACTTTGCGTCCATGTGGGTTTTGTATAAATATATATATCAAAATATATATCAAAGTACTAAACTAAAAAGTATAAAATAAAAATAAAAAACTGCGTTTAAAAAAACCGACTTCAAAAACAAATGACAAACAAAAAGTAAAAACTAAAAAGGAAAAAAAAAACTATTAGTGGTCATACGTACTTATAGCTTACACACCCACTGATAGGTTAGAAGTCGGTGCCACAAACCCACAATAAAATATAAAGTAGACAAAAGTCACAGCTGGTATAATCCATAATAAAATTGTAAACAGCTCAATAATGTTAGGTATCTATTAAGGTTTTAATGAATAATTTTGTTTAAAACTTGTGGCACCGACTTCTAACCTATCAGTGGGTGTGTAAGCTATAAGTACGTATGACCACTAATAGTTTTTTTTTTCCTTTTTAGTTTTTACTTTTTGTTTGTCATTTGTTTTTGAAGTCGGTTTTTTTAAACGCACTTTTTTAATTTTATTATCTAAAGATTTTCCGAAGATGCTATTGGATCGGGAAAAGACGAGATTAAGCGTACGAAGTCGCGGGCAGAGACTAGTTTTGTATAATGTACGATTTTCTATATAATCATATGCTTACTCTGTAATCTTTTTTAGAATTTCGAAACGAAAAAACAATATCTCTAAATTCTCCCAGTAATAAAAAACAAAGTTCGCGCTATTTTTATTTTTGTTTATTTAATGACTCTTTATATACCTTTTTCAAATACTTTAAAGGCTTGTTTTTAACTCAGGAGGAAAACAAAGCCTGAGAACAAATTAGTAGCTATGCTAAGTATGGTTGTTTAATACTACATAGTATTATGTATGTATATTTTTAAAAGTTTATGTTGCCCAGAGGTTTGTGACACGCGCTGCTCATGTATGAAGGGTTCGAAACCTACTAACAGCAAGTACCAATGTGACATTTTCCGAGTTATATGTACTTTCTAATATTATCTAGACACCACTGACAAACGGTGAAAGAAAACATCTTGAGGAAACCTAGGCTTATAATTTCTAATTATAAGTTTGATATCACCAACTCGCATTGAGCAAGCGTGGTGATTAATGCTCAATCCTTCTCTATGAGAAGAGGCCTTTGGTCAGAAGTGGCTACTTATAGGCTGTTGATGATGATGTTGATGATTTTAAAAGGACGAAGTTCTATGTTCATATAATTGTTTTTATTAAACTGTCAAACACCGCGAGGACACCGGTGTCCGCAACCTATTGTTCTTTAATTGTGTCTATAATGACGGTACTCAAAGGGTAATTAGACGGCTAACGTAATCAAATAATCTTTACAGATAAACAAAGTGACATTTGCCCCACTGGTGGTGTCGACCCTTTTCATCCTCCTGACGTCACTACTGGCCCACTGTGCGAGGAGAGTAGTGCAGAAGGTAGTGAAGGAACCCTTCGTCCGGTTGCTGTTCGAGGAGACTATAGCTGCTGCTGAACTATGCGGGTGCTGCTTCGAACTTATTGTGGGTGAGTGAGAAGTCTTGATTATTAACGCTGAACTACCACTATACTTAAGTGTTGGAGAGCCATGCTTCGGCACGAATGTGCCGGCTCGACCGGAGTGATACCACTAGACTACTGACGTGAAGCAACGCTTGTGTTGTGTTTCGTCACGTAAGTGAGGTTACCGAAGGCCCGAATACTACCCCCCTACTCCCCTTCCCAATTTCTACAATCCTTGAATCCCTGACAATCCCTCAAACTCCTAAATCCCCAAAAGGCCGGTAACGCACTTGTAACGTCTCTGGCGTTCCAGGTGTTCATGGGCGACGCTGATTGCTTACCATCAGGTGATCCGTCTGCTCGTTTACCGGCTTATCCCATAAAAAAAGTAAAATGTTTTGTTTATCATTTTTGAGTTTATGATATTTCAGAATAGATCTGATCTTTAGTTGCCGTCCAAAGTAATGTTTGCATTGACCTTAATGTTACAAAGCATGATATTCGGTGCTATCGTGGCTAATTTTAGAAATATGGAAAGTTTATTATATTTTTACTGGCCCGAAAAACCATCTTGTTATATTTTTGCAACCGACCGATCTAGTAGTCAGTCAGGGAGACCTCAGAGAGAGGAGTCAGCAGTGGACGCATGCAATGATGATGAATACTAAAATGTTTTTAATAATGTTCCAGTGGCGGATAACTTTGGCGTAGCGACGTATGCGATATTCCTGTTCGCACTGACAATCTGGTGGTCACTCAACTGGGGAGATGCTACAGCCTGTCCTTATACGCACATCGAAGATGTTATTGAAGGTAAAATTGTTGCCTGGTTTCTGACTTTTTGTAAATTGATAGTTTTAGAAGCTTAATGGATCAGATTATGTCCTAAAACTGCGACCAGTTATGTAAGTGATAGGCACTAGCATCCATCAAACTACTGACTGGATAGTTGGCGCGGTGGTTGGGGTACTGGTTGCCGCGCAACATGTCGCGGGTTCGATTCCCGCACAGAACAACACTTTGTGTGATCCACAGATTGTTGTTCCGGGTCTGGGTGTCATGTGTATGAGAACTTGTATGTTTGTAAACGCACCCACGATACAGCAGAAAATCTTAGTGTGCCCCCCACACTAGGGGGGCAACGATTTTTAACAAAACATTTTTGTGACCTAACTGAGACCGTCAAACCAATGTCAATGTGGGGATTATGGTCTCTTTAGTAGATATACTAAGAATCAGCAGCAAAGGCATTGCGATTGACAACAAAGATGATATTTTTTGCGGTAATCTCAAAATAACTCTAAATGAATTCCATTTTCTACAAATTCCAGGCAAGGGTGACATTCGCAAGGCGTTCCTTAAAACTTGGGCTGAGCTGACCGGTGGTATCCTGGTCTTCAAATATGTGCAGATGTACTGGGCGCTGGAGATTTCTGACACCCACAAGGATAAGGCATTCGAAGACTGCAAGGCTGACTTACAGGTACATTGATGATTTTGTAATGGGTTGATAGCCGTATTTGTAATGTAAACTAGCAATACATGGTACCTACGTTATTCAATATAGTTATTTTGATGTCATAGTTTTTAACGTATTTTGTACTTGAATTTGTCTTTGACAGGTTTGACTCTAATTCAGAGAAGTTAATATTTTTGTTTTTGAGTGTGTAAAATCATACAATTACTTCCCTCGCCTTGGATGAGGCGAGAGAGAGTGTCAGACCCTTACTGACCAAAAACCATCCTGTTCATACTCGAGTACGAGTAACTCGAGTCCTGCAGCTGTAGCCAAATGCCATTTAGCGCTTGTCTACATGTAGAATAGAAAACCAAATTATATGAAATTGACGTAAATTTTGACACTTGACACTTAGTTTTCTACTCTCTCTGTAGACAAGCGCTAAAGTGACGTTTGGCTTAAGGCACAGTTAGCCCGGTCATCATCAGCTCCAAATGGTACAAATAGCTTAACAGATCTTTATTTCAAAGAATATGTCAAAATTATTCATTTGTTAAACTAACGGTAACTTCATGAGATATTGTGAAACAGGTGTTTCACCCACACCTTGAATACAAAAGAAAATTACGTAGTCCTGACTTTCCTCGGAACTTAAGTCAAAAATAACAACGTTTAAAATAACTGCAGCTGCAGTATACAGACAAGCGCTTTATAATGTTAGTTAATTAACAAAAGATTAACTGACGGCGAAGTAGAGAGAACTGTGTACGGTAACTGACAGACAAGATGTAGACATAATTATAATGTTAAAACGTGAATAAAATAACTATTCATAATTTTATACAAGTTACGAGTTCTCGAATAGGTAAGTGTTGGATCTTGTCAGATTTGGTTTAAGCGTGTTTGGCTTATGTTTTAATACTTGCTTGTTTTTGGAATAAAGATAATTTTATTTAGCATATTTATAACTATCTTTTACCCGCGGCTTCGCTCGCGTCACAAAAAGATAAAAGTAGCCTATGTGACATGTACCAATACACACAGCGCCATCTATACCAATACATTTGTTTTCCCTCGGGAATATCACATTTTCCGGGATAAAAAGTACCCTGTTATTTAATCCAGACTTCTAATTTTACGTCTGCAAAAATTCAAAGCAATCGGTTTACCTAGAAGTAACGGCGTGAAGGCGGAACAAACAAACAAACAAACAAACTCACTTTCCCATTTATAATAGTAAGGAAGGTTTATTTGAAGTACCTAATACCAAACTCCATTCATGACATGCTGTCGCGGAGAACCTAACGAGTTACCGGGGCTCCAGCTCGAAGTGCAGGACTAGGAACGGAGTGATTTTTAGTCGGTAAGAGTCTGACACTCCCTCCCGCCTCACCCAGGCGGGAGCAGTCATTCGATGATTGATGATTCCAATATATACATATAATTGATGATGATGATAGTATATAGATAATTGAAGATGATGATGACGATTCCTTAAAAAAAAATCATGACATGCTATTTTGAGATTTACTCAAAATCAAAAGGTCCTAATAAATAGACCTATATATTACTTATTACGATTTATTGATTTGGATTTTGTTTACTAACACGCGGTTGACAAGTTCATTAGCCTTTCAAATGAATTGTTTAACATTGAATTTTTCATGACTCGTGTATTACTTTCATTGCACTGCACAGTATTAAACTGTTCGTCCCCTATGGCGATTGGTTTGAAGATGTGGTGCTAGATAATGTCCTCTCCAGACAGGGCTGCATTTATCATAAATGCCAGTACTAGAGTCCGTTAGGGCACATTTATTATGACACAATAATGTCTATGTGTCTAGTCGGAATACTGAAACGCTACTCAATTTAAAGTCGCGCTTAAGTATAGTTCTGTCACCACTAATTCGTTGTAAAATGACATGGATGGCACGATATTTAAGCACGACTTAAAATTGAGTAACGTTTCAGTATTCCGGCATTAAAGGCGCGAGTGAATAGGTTGCTTATGGGCAGACGTGGTCCGTCGTAGACCGCATCATCGCTTACCACCAGGCGAGATAGTCATCAAATTAATGTCGGCCCATTAAATATAAAATTTACAATCATTAAAATGTTATTAAAAGAAGTATGAACAGATAATTCTTTCGCTAGTTAAATCATCATTTGCCTTTTTGAGTCGTCGAAACTAAGATTACTATAAAAATTATAGAAATCTTAGTTTATTAAAATTAACATAGTATAATAATAGGGATGATGACAGGGTTGAAAATTAAAAATCTAATTAGTCCGTCAGTTAGGTAATGAAAAAATATTAGACACGTATTTTTTTATTTTGATGTATAATAAAATGATACTTAGATATAACGAATCAAAGTTTAAAAGTGGGGGCTAATACGTCATTTCTACGTATAAAATATACATAGAAGTGACGTCACGCGACATTTCAAATAAATATATCGTAGAAAGTATTCGTTTCTGTAAAAAAAATAAAAAATACGTGTCTAATGATTTAAAATAATCTACCAGACGGATATTAAAATAAAAATTAGTCATCTACCCTATTCTCTTACTATTTGGCAGAATACCCAATAGAATGTTTTCCATTGACCCGATTATTACATAAATACGATCTACTTTATAACAATCGGTGACGGTCGCTTAATATCTGGTATCAGGTGAATCAATATCTAGGGTACAATTCATTCTAACAAGCTAGGCGTAGGATCTAGATAAACAATCGTAGCCTATTAAAATACCTAGATGAAATAAAATCTCCGAATATCTGATAATATCGAACTCAATTTAAACTGCCTAATGAAGCGTTTATTCCATTGTTTATAGTTATTCATGTGTTATTACAGCAGGTTGTTTGGAACTGACTGACTCGTTGGCCGAGTGGTTGCAAGTGCGACTCGGGGTCTCTAGTTCAATTCCCGGGTCGGGAAAATAATTACTGGGTTTTTAAAAATCTCAGTAGTAGTGCCCGGTATATGGCAATAGGCTCACCCCTATGACATGGGACTCATAACATAAATATTAAAAAGTGGGTTTTGCATTGTACAGTGGCATTAAATGCCAAAATGTGCACCTTTGCCTACCACTTCGGGGATAAAAGGCGTGATGTTGTGTTATGTATATACACAAGTGTTAAACACCCACTATTGCCATATACCGGGCACATTTCCAGACTCCGTGCTACTACTAAGATTTTTAAAAACCCAGTAATACTTTGCCCGATCCGGGAACCGAACCCGACATCCCTTGCCCGGCAGTCGCACTTGACCAATCGCCCAACGAGGCAGTCGACTTGTGTATGTCTATCCCTGGAAAACATAATGTTATGCAATATTTTCCAGGTACCTGTAATCTATGGTGCAGTGGTTGAAGGTGTAGCCACGTGCCTCTGTCGCCTCGCTTCAAGAGGTCTCGGAGACCTGAACCCTCGCTTCGCCACGGCCATCGATTCCTTTATTGGAACGTCTCTCGTTGTAGCTGGTGAGAATAATATTACTTTATTTAAATTGTACATTCTGATAGCCACTGTTCACTCACACACATTACACTCACTCACTCACTTTGAAAATGATTTCTTGTAGAATATTTCAAAATCTGTAAAAAATTATCAATTAAAGATTTGTTCTATTTTTAAATTAACAAAATTAGTCTTACGTTTCTTAAGAAACATAGTCAGTCAACATCTAACTAATTATTTACTATCTATTTTAGTTGAGTAAATAAAAAAAGAGTATAATACAAATTAAGTACATGAAAAAATAATTTTAATTCACAAAATACAACAGTAATCCAACACACGTGTCTGTACAAACAGCTTTCCCCGTGACTTCACCTCGCTTTTCACTCAACCCACTTACATAAACTCACTGAAACTCATAAATACTCACATAAACTCACATGTACTCACGCGCAGCTCAATGTTGCAGTGGTCCTCACTAGGCACACGGTATTCGTCTACCGGTATCAGGACAATAGTGCCAATGCGGACCTAAGCGTGTCCATCTTTTGCAAAATACATTTAGGAAAAGGTACATTCTTCTCTCATTAAAGCTTAGTTCACACTGCGTTAGTATATTAGTCGAGTAGCGAGTAAATTAGTTTTACGCGCTGTCAAATGTTATTTATTTATTTATTTATATCTTGTTTTTATTAATTTTTAATTACTGCGTCAGTATTCTATTGTCACTGTATTGTTATACACTGTCGTTTCTTTGTTTTTTTTTCTATATCTATTTATATATGTTTATTTATTTGTTTTTTTCTTTTTAATTTTGTATTTTTTTGTATCTGTGTGCGTGCCTACTGTCGTATAAATGTTTTTTCTTTCCTTTTCTTTCGGGCGAGTAACATCTCTTGTGTTCGAAGGAGCTACTCGCCCGAAAAAATACAATAAAATTGAACGACTTGACTTAAATACAAATACTAGCACACCATTCAATTTGAAAACGAATCTGGTCATTTATACACTGCAGTAGCATTTAGTAAGCATTTCAGTATTTAGGGGATACTATCTGACTTTACTACTTGTCAATTTTTGGTACATTTCATTCTACTAAATTATTCGCTACTCGACTAAAATACTAGCGTAGTGCGAACTAGGAGTAAGTGTCCACTAATATTTTATTATCAACGACAGTAGCCAAGCATGAATACATCAACTCACATCATTGTCAGTATAATCTGCATCAACTCATTGTCACTGTACAAATATTCACATTTCATGTCATTTTCCAACGACTCGTTGTATGTAGTTGCTTTTAGTATCACTTATGTTAAAGTTTAATACCTGAATGAAGATTTAAAAGTCATCGTTTATATAGGAAAACATCCAAGACTGACAGTTTAAAATACCAACGACGTTTGTAATAAAGTTATTGTATCGTTAGAGATTTTAACAAACTTTCGCTGAAATACGCAAAAGCCTACATTTTTTTTTGTAAAATGACAGAGATGGCTCGATAGTTAGATATCTATATATAGATATCTATAAATCGATAGTTATATATCGGCAGTTAGATATGAAAAAATATTAGACGCGTAAATATTATGTTCTCGTATAAAGTTACAATACTTAGATAAAATGGAGTTAAGTTTAGGAGTGGGAGGTAGTTACAAAATGTAGCACGTTGTGACGTCACACGACATTTCAAATCAATATATCGTCGAAAGTATTTAATTTTGTGAGAAAAGAAAAAAATATGTGTCTAATGTTTTAAAATAATCTACCAGACGGATATTAAAATAAAATAGGAAACTACCCTATTAAAGTAGCCTTTCAGTATTCGGGCATTTGTTAATAAGGAAGCAAGCAATACAAAAGAAACGTATTTTTATATTAAAACTTCTGTGAGACATTCTAATCAATTATCATGTTTTCGGCTTACTCACGTAACGGTTCGACGGGGAACTCGACTAGTTTCAAGGCATGCAGAGGCTCATATTCTTTGAGCAGCATTCCGCAACTCGCGACGCGACGACTGTTGAGCTGCTACTGAAACGTATTTTTCTGCAAATTGTAGTCTATGACAGTAGTTGTTAAAATGTCTAACGATAACATAAATGTTGTAAACGTAGTCTTATTAATGAACTCGTTATAATTGATGTTGTTTCTCTTTTCAGCATTCGACTATTCTGGAGGATACTTCAACCCTGTGCTGGCGACGTCTCTGAAGGCTGGCTGTGAAGGTCATACCATGATGGAACACGCGATAGTCTACTGGATAGGAGCCTGTGCAGGTTCTCTTCTGTCAGTATACCTTTACAAGCTGCCATCCATCCAGAAGTTCGTCAGAGGCAGCAGTGAAGCGAATGGAGACAGCATTTGGGCAGAAAAAGAAGATTAAAATGATTCTTCTGTTGTGTCTCAAAATTATGGGTGTAGGCTGGAAAATTCTAGAAGATAATGTCGAATGCCATAAGGACTATATTACGACGTATAATAGAAAAGAAATTGATGTAATAGTCGTAATTAATAACATGATTTGTACTCTCTTTATTTCGTATAATTCAAAACAGTTAAGCCTTCATATGCTACTAGAAAATTCTAACTAAGTTATTACTCCTATCAAATTATACAAACCGTTATTAACTTCAAAATGAAATAATGAGAAAACGAAATCTAATTTAGCTGTTTTTACGTTTTGCAATGCTAGCACTTCAGTTTGAAAAGGCTTTAATATAAAAATTGAGTGTAGCTAAGTAATATTTGAGGTTTTGCTGCAAATACAGTTTTGAAAGAGTAATATGAAAGCTAAGGTAAAGATATTTTTCAAGTACCTATATCTCTCGAAGATTAGAGAATTATCAGCTGTAGGCAATTATATAATTACTGAATTAACCAGCATACATCAACAGTCTATAAATGCCCACTGCTGAGCAAAGCCTCTTCTCACACGGAAAAGGTTTGAGCATTAATCACCACGCTTGCTCAATGCGTGTTGGTGATTTCAAACTTATAATTAGAAATTATAAGTCCAGGTTTCCTTACGATGTTTTCCTTCACCGTTTGTCAGTGGTGACTGAATAATCTTAGAATGGACCAGCATACACCCATTTTAAAATTTTTACGCTTTAATCAATTACTTTTTTTGGAAAAGTTCGCGTGAAAATTTATTAATTGTCGTTTTTTATAATTTTTCTCAAAAAATGTTTGGCAAAAATTCCTTGAAGAGCGATGTCCACGATTCTAGTCATTTCTCCTTGTTTTTAAGTATTATTTTTTCTTTGTAATTTTAATTTTATAATTTGTTTCATCTCCTTTTTGTACTGGGTACTTACATGGTAGTACCCGCCAAGTTCGAATGGTATTTATTATAAATAATTTTTTTACAGTGGCTCGCACATCAACCTTCTCGAATGTGTTAATTTTGTCATTTGAATTTCGATGTTATATCTATACTAGCTTTTACACGAGGCTTCGCTCGCGTCACAAAAGGATAAAAAGTAGCCTGTGACATATACCAATACACACAGCGCCATCTATACCAATACTTTTTTTGCCCTCGGGAATATCAAATCTTTCCGGGTTAAAAAGTACCCTATTATTTAATCCGGACTTCTAACTTTACGTCTGCAAAAATTCAAAGCAATCGGTTTAGTAGTTACGGCGTGAAAGCGGAACAAACAAACAAACTCACTTTCCGATTTATAATATTAGTAAGGAAGATGAGGTGAGAATCTAATAAAGAAATTTGACAGTAGTTTGACGTGCTGCCCACTGTACTAAAGTTAAAGGGGATGAACATTTCGTACCACCTTTCGTACAAAGCTAAGAGCGTTAGATTTTATATTTTTTCTACCCGAGTTGTTGAAGTATGTCTCCTGAAATATAATAAGTGCTACGTACTCCCGTTGTAAATAAATGTTTTATTTATTACAATACAGACTATTTTATTTTAACATAACATACATAACATCACGCCTTTTATCCCCGAAGGGGTAGGCAGAGGTGCACATTATGCCACTATACAATGTAACACCTACTTTTCACTATTTATGTTATGAGTCCCATGTAATAAGAGGTGAGCCTATTGCCATATACCGGGCACAATTCCGGACTCCGTGCTATTACCGTGAATTTTTTGAAAAGCCCAGTAATACTTTGCCCGACCCGGGAATCGAACCCGAGACCCCTTGCCCGGCAGTCGCACTTGCAACCACTCCGCCAACGAGGCAGTCAACGTAGGTATTATGTCGTATATTATGTAGCTAGGCAGTAACTAACTGCTCCGATAAATCTGTCTGGTCTAGTGAGCTTTACATACGATTAGATATTATCAATAAATGTACCTACTGGTGTGTATTAGTTACGATATTGAGATTCTAGTTCAATATACCTATATCATATAAATATTAGGACTAAAGTTATTGAATCGTTTACTAGTATTTGTGTGTCTACTATACATATAAAATTGATTAATTAATTCGCATAAATGTGTTCCTAGGGGTTCACCGTGTCGGCTCGACGTGCAGGAGAAGGAACGGGGTGGTTTTTAGTCAGTAAGAGTTTGACACTCCCTCCCGCCTAACCCGGGCGGGAGCAGTCACTCGATGATTTTCCCCCATTAAAGAAAAGGGGTTCACCGTAAGTACGGGCGTGCGGACTGCGAGCACAGATAACTCGCCGCCCGACCAGACCTGACTGTATGGCATAACGCATTCCGCGAACGCTTTAAAGAGCCATCAGACCACTACAGATGGGGTCCAGTAGGGCTGAAGCCGACACAGAGCCGTGGAGGACTTAACGAGTTGCCGGGGCTCCGGCTCGAAAAGTAGAAGTAGGAACGGGGTGGTTTTCGTCAGTAAAAGTGTGACACTCCCTCTGGCGTCACCTAGGCGAGAGAAGCCATTGGTTGATTTTCCCCTTAAAAAAATGTACCCTTTTTTAAATACAATTGCAGAAAAACGAAAAAGCGTTTCAACCAATACAGATAATATAAACCACCGCATGATTATATTGAAACCAATTATATACTTATTAAAAACAAACATTTAATAATACCACACATATTTTTAACACCACTAAACTGCAGTTTACAATTCTCGCAACATATCCAGACAGATTCTAAACACAATATTTGAACCTAGGCACATATATATGACTAGCAATGACTCAGTATTCAGTGATAGTCAACAGCTAAGATTTATATGACTCTCGGACGAAACATGACTATCCCCTGAGGCTGGTCGTATAGCTAACGTTATACTGGTAACTCGAATCTGAATTATGTACTTAGTTATATATTTATTACGGTTGATTATTGAATAATATTATATTGTTGTGTACAGAATTCAGTTAAGCAAGTGGTTATATGATAATTTATAAACTAACCACGTGTAAAAAACCGAAAAACCGAGTTTGACCTGTACTAAAACCTTCGAAGTATAAGTATGGGATAGCCATGCTTGGGCACGAATGGGCCGGCTCGACCGACCGATACCACGGCCTCACAGAAAACGGACGTGAAGCAACGCTTGCGTTGTGTTTCGTCGTGTGAGTGAGGTTACCGGAGGCCCAATTACCTTCCCCTTCCCCAATCTCCCCAATCTCTGAATCCCCAACGATCCTTGGACTCCTAATCCCCAAAAAGCCGGTGACGCACTTGTAACGCCTCTGGTGTTCCAGGTGTCCCTGGGCGACGCTGATTGCTTACCATCAGGTGATCCGTCTGCTCGTTTACCGGCCTATGTATGCCATAAAAAAAAGAAAATATGCACTTTTCTGAAAATCGTATCAAAATCGGTTCAGCCAATCGCGAAATAATCGCGTAGGTACCAACATACATACACACAGGTCAAATGTAAAACATCCTTCTTTCAGTTTGGTAAAATTTTGAAAACTTAAAATGTCTTTATATAATTAACTAGCTACTTCCGCGCGGTTTTACACGCTCTGCCCAGCTCCTATTGGTCGTAGCGTGATGTTTTATGGCCTATAGCCATCCTCGATAAATGCGCTACCCAACACAAAAAGAATTATTCAAATCAGACTTGTAGTTACGGAGATTAGCGCGTTCAAACAAACAAACAAAAAAACAAACTCTTCAGCTTTATAATATTAGTAATAGATTAATAAGTAGTACCTATCAATGTTTTTAAATACAACTTCATCAGTCGAATGACTGCTAATGTGATTGCAAGGTAAGATGTTGGGTTCGATACCCGGGTAAGGAAAACAGTAATTGGGATTTTCTGGTTTAAAAAATATGGCTCAATAATCGCTTTAGATTTATATTTCACTTGCCATAAGTCCTATAATTTATTTCGTTTTAAATAAACATAGTCCATGTAAAATTAAAAAGCCCATGAAATCTAAGAACTGGGTTCTAAGTTAGTTATAAAATAATTCTATTACAATTCGAATCAGCTAAAAACTTTCATTTCATCTCTCTATCTGAAATTAAAACAATATTATTGTTGAAAGGCTGAAAGTTTCAGTAGAATAGGATTCAATATTCAATGGTCGAATTGAGTCTGTAACTTTTTAATTAACCTCTCAAGATCACTGAGAGGGTCAAGGAGTATGGAGGTATGGAGTACCACCTTACAAATATGGAAATATTATATCGTCAAAAGTCAAAGCATTTATTTCAATTAAACCATAATTTGGTACTTTTGAAACGTTAACAAGTAAGTACAAAATAAATAATAGTCTGTTAGTCCGTCTGTCAGCGAAGCTAGGTGCCTATTCCAAAATGTAGAAGAACTAGCAAGAAACTCCATTCTTTACTCTTTTAATTATACAGCTGACGAGTATGTTAGTTTGAACGTGCCAATCTCTAGAACTACTAGTCCGATTTTAATGTTTTTTTAACTATAACACAGCATGCTACGATCAATAACATGACAACACGGTTAGTGCCGTGGCTGAGCATACGGCTGCCGTGGCATTAACGGTGTTGTCACTTTATCCATTTAAGTATTAATCAGAAAATTCCCGTTTCTAGTATCTAGGTAAGTTGGAAATCACAGTTTACAGGTTTTGGTTTATCAGCGAGCTTTCCCGCACCATTTTACCTAAATAGGTACATTTTTAACGAAGTGTGTACTCCTTATCTTCATACTCCACGGTGGAAACGAATGGCGTAGAAATCTTCATTAAAATCTAAGATGAATTCAGATCGGCTTACATTTTTGTTATATAAAATAAATCACGTTTTTTTAATTTGCATCTTTTTTAAAGATGATACTTGACGGTTTTTACCTATAGATTCATAATTGAAAAAACGTGGTGATGATTATTATTTTATTATGAGTATTAAGTACTTGTCATAATACTTAACACTTAACATTAATAAATACCATTTAAACCATAGTCAAGTTTAAGTGTGGGAGAGCCATGCTTCGGCACGAATCGGCCGGCTCGACCGGAGTGATACAGAAAACCGACGTGAAGCATCGCTTGCGTTGTGTTTCGTCGTGTGAGTGAGATTACCGGAGGCCCAATTACCCTCCCCTTCCCTAATCTCCCCAATTCCTGAATCCCCAAAAGGCCGTTAACGCACTTGTAACGCCTCTGGTGTTCCAGGTGTCCATCGGCGACGCCGATTGCTTACCATCAGGTGATCCGTCGGCTCGTTCATCGGCTTATGCCATAAAAAAATTGTCTGACTGCATATTATTGTAATGTAAAATAACATAACATAACATCACACCTTTTATTCGTAAACCGTATTCGCCCAGAATTTATGATTTAATAATACTGAAGCAATACGTATTCCGGATAATGTAAGCAAAAATACAGACGGAAAAATAAAGAGTTATCGCAACAAGACTGGCACAGGGTGTACTTTTTCGTGGGTAACACATAAGTTATGGTAATTTAAAAAACTATATTAACTACTTGGAATTTTTTCTATATTTTTTTGATGACTGTTGGAACCTTGCTGATCATCTGCTGCCATTTGATCGTCGACTTCAGGGGCACTTGTATATGTAATATTTTCAATGTAGGTGCACAATTTACCATAGATGTATAATAATCTAGATTGCCTCGTTGGCCGAGTGGTCGCAAGTACGCACAGAAATATTAAAAAAGTTAATATATCTGTGGGGTCTCCGGTTCGATTCCCGGGTCGGGCAATGTACTACTGAGCTTTTATAAATTCTCAGTAAGTAGCACGGAGTCTGGAATTGTGCCCGGTATATGGAAATAGGCTCACCCCCTATTACATGGGACTTATAACATAAATAGTGAAAAGTGGGTGTTACATTGGACAGTGGCATAATGTGCACCTCTGCCTACCCCTTCGGGGATAAAAGGCTTGATGTTATGTTATGTTATATAGTGATCTATGGAATTGACCCTTCTACATATTTATTATATGTATAGGTAAATGGAAAATTTAAAAGTTTTGACGTGTAAAGTTAAAAGCAAATAAAACCGTAATTATGATTACGGTATATGTTTACGCAGTTAAGTATTAAGTAATAAAACATTATAGATAACACTATACTAATGAAAGCACCCGTTTAAGATCGAGTGAATGAAAAAAAACACACTTTTAATATAAATTTTGCACAAATACTACTAAATGACATTTAAAACTGGAATCCGTACATGTTTACATGTGTACATGTTTACATGTATGGATTCCAGTTTTAAATGTCATTTGTCATAAATGCAAAAGTATGTGTAAAAAATATTGCAATATTTTTTCTTGTAAATCTGCTGCAACCTATTAAAACGCGCACGCAAAGCCGCGGGCGGAAAGCTAGTAATTTATAAACAAGGTAAAGAATCAAACACCTATTAAACTGCAAACCAGCAAAGAAATTAATCGCCATATGTGTCACATAGCTTGGGGATGGCCACCGAATTCAGAAGACCTATCTCTCGGTGTTCAGTCGCAGTTTTGGAACATATTAAGGGGTTTGTCACGTTTGAACATACAAACATCACCTCACGCCTGAACAGACAGACGAATATGTATTTAAACAGTATCTACCTACATCGCATAGAATATTTTTAATTATATCCTACATTCAAACCTTTTTAAGAACATACAATACGCATTAACGATCTACAGGTAATGACACCTATTGATTTTACTTCCCACTATAAATAACGAAGTTATTCCAAAGAATATGCGTATGACAAGACTAGTTTTGTACTGAAAGGCTTGATTGACTTAACAGATTAATATCAAAACCATCAGAAAAAGCTTAAAAAATTCTTTTAAGAAAAGAAAGTGATTTGAAGCCGAAGAAGAAGATGAAACACTATTTTCTATACATCCTTGTCAGTTCCAGTGTCGTAAATGCAGATACAGATCTTATTTTACCAAAATATAATGAAAAGGAAACAGTAAATTTTAACTCGATTACTGATTGTATCATATCTATAACTGAAACAGAACTTTACTTCAGACCAACTGTAGCTATACTAGACCAAGGCGGTAATACTACAGAAAACATCTTCAACAATGAATTAATTGATAAACTTACAAAATACAATATACCTCAAGTTATAATACAAGATGGAATCGGCGAAAAAAATTATGATTTACATTTAATTTGCTTGACAATCGCATTCTTTAACTCATGTGCTGACATCAAAGAGTTTGATTTCAAAAGTATTGATAAGGAAATGAGATTTCTTGTAATCATATCTGATGATTCAGGTAATAACTGTGTTGATACACTTGAAGAAATTGGAGATTCCGTAAGTAAACATGCTATTACTTTTATTATACAAGATTTCGTAACAGGAGAAAATAACATTTACACAATATTTCCCAAAATAGATGAGAAAACGTGTAAAGAAATTGTTGAAAAACCTTCGCATATAAACACGTGTTTTAATAATGGAACTGTTCTAAATGAGGATATATTTCCAATAAAAAATCCTAACAACCTAAACCGATGCCCGTTTAGAATTGGTATGGCAACTCTTTTTCCTTTCTCAGAAATACCTAACAAAGAATTGCTTAAAAATTATGATAATGTCACAGAAATCAAGGGGTTCGATTACGAAATATTGAAAGTAATTGCAGAGTACTTCAATGCTACATTAGAAACGCATTACATTTATAGGAAAGAAGAGAATCCGTACAAAGATCTGGAGTTCACAGATTTCATTAAGAACGGGAGCTTAGATGCGTGTGCGGGCGGTCTATACAGAATATATGGAGATATGGTGGAATATTCTGGAATATATGTCCGCCAAGGTGTTTTTTGGGTCTACTATGCAGAGAGAGCTGAAAGATCTTGGCAGAACTTAGTAAGCAAATTGGATGATGTGTACTTCTTCATTATATTCTATATCACTTATTCAATTGTGTGGTGTTTAATATCCTCATTTGATGGTCAGGCTGTTTCACTTATCACTACATTGATACACGGATGGGGAGCTCTTGTCGGTGCTACTTCGTTGCAGGAACCTAGAACAAGAAAACAGAAATTCCTCAATTTATTATACTTGATCATGTCTGTGTACTCTTCTGTTTATGTCAGCATACAATTCTATTCATTCCTCACAGTCCGTGGTCCACCACAAATGTTTAAAACGAACACAGCAGTGATGGAGTCAGGGAGGACAGCGTATTTGAAAAATTCATCGAAATACTTCATCACTGACGAGAGGTATACGAAGTATGCGGACCGTTCAGCAGATTGTGTGTCTTTCTATAATTGTGCTGAGAAAACTTTAATGTATAATGGTCTAACTCTTTTATTGCAAGCTAACTTTTACATCTTCCAAGCTACTTCAGCTGTTAAAGATGAAGCTCGAGTGCTGAGAGCGACGGAGAATATGCTGACAGTGTATAACGAAATGTTGATTAGAAAGGATAGTCCTTTAGTGGCTAAATTTCAGAAGGTCATGAAGCGTTTGTTTGAAGCTGGGATAACTGGGAGGCTGTTCACCGAAGCCATTGGTATATCGGTAGTGGCTAAAGCAGAGAGTGCTAATTCTAATATGATAACTAGTAGTTACAGTTGCCAAGCTGGTTGCTCGATCACTCTTATGCAATTTGCTGGAATATTCTATGCTTGGATTTTCGGCTGTGCAATCTCCTGCCTGGTTTTTGTTATTGAAATATTTTTGAGACGGGTTAAAGTTAAAGAACTGTAAATGTAACTTAAGCTAGTGTCTACGTTTCTTCGTGATCAATTACTGTTTTACTAGATGTTGTGAATACATATGTTTGTGTATCTTATACTTATTATTTATTATAAAAAGCGAAAGTTTTGTTTTTTTATTTGTTTGTTTGAACGCGCTAATCTCCGTAACTACAAGTCTGATTTGAATTATTATTTTTGTGTTAGATAGTGCATTTATCGAGGATGACTATAGGCTATAAAACATCACGCTACGACCAATAGGAGCTGAGCAGAGCGTGTGGAACCGCGCGGATCTATTGTGCACTTAGGTATTGTGTATTATAATCTACTTTTAACATATTTCAGCGGTCATAATATTATTATGTTTATGTATGTGTAGCGAAATAAATATTTCATTGTGTAGAGTAATTCCAGTTTATTATAGTGTTGTAAATAAAATTCTTCGATTGAAAAATCATGTTTGTATTACTAAGAGAATTTGACTTCTCTGAGCGTTTTCATTCGAAACGCCTCAACTATAGTTTTTAATTGTTAATTTCTGTTTGAATTGGTATTTGAAGTACATCAGAAATCACTACATTCTATAGCTGTATGGGAGTTATCGCAAAAAGTTATTGATACTATAAACTTAGAAATAGAAATCAACGATGCATTCAGTTTTCAATTGAAAACATTCACGTGACAATTGGTAAACAAAATGTACGCAATTATTGGAAATATTATATTGTTTTTCAGTGAGTATTAAATAACAACTGATTTTTTGTGATTTATGTATATCAGTGTAAGACAAAAAATAAATAAGTAACTAAATAAAATAATAAATGTAATGTGTTTACGTTTTTTTACAAAAAAGAAGGTGTGAAATATAAAATCCAATCACAAGCACCTAGCTTCACTGACGGACTGACTGACAGACTATTATTTATTTTGTATTTGTTTGTATTTTTAATAAATTATTTTGACTTTGACTTTGACGAACAAATATTTTTTTAATCACATGTGTGGGTTCGGTATCTATCTAGTAACGCGGAGGGTGTTTACAATTTTTTTTTAATATTTTCAATGTACGGAATTTACACTTCTAAAGTTTAATTATAAGTATAGATAAGAACAGATTAAAATATAATTATTCATTCTTTACAGTTTATTTCCACATGAACTCTACAAACGCTCTAGGGATAGTCGATGTGGTCACATTAAAATCTGCTACTACACCATCTATTGATGACAATAAGATTTTAAATATTTTACAACCTGAGGAATCTTTACTGATAAGATCTGGTAACGAGACTAACACGAAGAAAGTAAAACGAGAGATCCAAAAGGATGATTTTACATTAACGAATCATTACACAAATGACAAGAATCCATCTTTTGTACTTATGTTTAAAAGTCGACAGTTTACATTAAACGGTGACGATTCCAAAAGATCTGAAGAAAATGCTAATTAATACATCGTAACATGACATTAAGTTTTTTATTAAACCTGAAGACTGAAGGGTAAATAATACAACAACGTACATACATAATATCACGCCTTTTACCCCCGAAGGGGTACGCAAAGGTGTGCATTACGGCACTTATGCCACTGTACAATGTAACACCCACTTTTCAATATTTATGTTATGAGTCCCATGTAATATGGGGTGAGCCTATAGGTACGTGGTGGTACGTGGTGGAACGTGGTATATGTGGCGGTGGCCCGGTTTTCATGCATAAGGGTGAGGCCTATAACAATTGGAAATGCATTACAGAAAGTTTATGAATACCCAATTAAGACCTAAGGAGTCGTGGTGGCTCGGAGATTTTTTAGACGGATCGCCTGATGGTAAGCAATCGGCGTCGCCCATGGACACCTGGAACACCAAAGGCGTTACAAGGCGCCTTTTGGGGATTAAGAGTTTGAGGGTCGTTGGGGATTCGGTTTTCTGATTTAAGACGCCCACTTCTCATGCATGAGGGATATGTGTTCAAAACCTACCAATATTACTATTGGTCAGTGGCGTGCACAGATTTTTGAGACAGGGTAGGCAACTAAATATCGTATGATTAAAGCCCTCCCCCCCGGTCATACAATCATACTCCCACAAGACAGGTACATGTACAGAATACATTTTGAAAAGTGCGTTCAAGAATATTGTGGTTTATTCTTTTGCCAAATTACATACACTGACATCTCGCGTATTTTTTGTAAAGTACTTCATCAGCTATCGAATAAGCCAACAAAACTTACAAATAATGAAGCATCTATTTATTATACTAATAATGAAGCATAAATTTGATGAACCAAATTCAATTATCAAATTGCTAAATAATCTATTCAAAATCATAATTACGAATTTAAGAACGTAGGTACCTACCAACAAACAAAACAACAACAAGCGCGGCCGGCTGTGCCGAGCCGAGTATAAGCGGTACATTTGTTATTACATTACATAATTAATAATAATTATTATAATAAATTAATATGTAAATCAAAACAACCCGAGGTATAAGTTGATATTCTTAAGAATTATCAAACAATAAACAAGAACATCATATAAAAGATCCATTATAGTACCTACATATTTACATTACCTACCTTTGACTTGGGTCAATTCTCGTAACTTGAGTATGCTATGGTCATTACCTGAATCTAGTCGTTATAGGACACATTTTTGCGAAAACTTACTGTTTTTAACTTTAAACAAACACAAAAAATTACCTATTATCAACACAAACTTCACAATCGAATAATATACTAGACACTGATAAACAAATACACTATTTAAAAACCGACACATATATTTTACTACTTCTACACATATTTATGCAACTTTATGTTTAAAACTAATTCCTTATAATTTAAACGAAAACATAAACAAAGCGATCGCACATCACATGAAAACAATATGGCCGAAAACATTGGAAAGTCATTACCCATCGTAGTCAATTGAGTGTTTATTATAAAAAAATTATAGCTAAAACATTAAGGCAACCCAGTGTTTAATTATAAAAAAACAAAAGGTTAATTTACATAAGTCAAATGGAATTGCATCATTGTCTTATTATTATTTTCCAATAAGAAACATTCGTTGATAATAATTTGAAACTTTGAGTAGCGGCAACTTGACGTTTCGATAACTTCCTTTTAACTTTTAAAATAATAAAGTCAACTCCTCGTTTAAAGTTTCTATAAAGCGACAACGCGTAAAAATGTTTTAATTAAAACACCTGAAACATATTTTTTTAGTATGCATAATTATAAAAAGACATTCGCATTACCTATACCGAACGCGTTCAGAAGTTTTAACAAAAAATTCAATAGATGGCGCAGATTCACAAACAAAAAGTCCGGCTAGATTGAATCGTGTAATATTTTTTTGCGTTTATGAATGGTTATTCTGTGCTGTGACCATAGTCACGTGACCTTCACGCATGCGCGTTGCATACTTTTTGTGACGTCACAACCAACAACCAAGATTTAAGTAGTGCGTGCGGCGCGCATTCATTGCTTTACAAAGGCGTGCGGTCCGTGTATAGTATATGTGAATGTATATTTATGTTAGCCGTTTTTTTACAAACTTTTATTATATTATTGAATCTTAATAAACGCGTTAGTACATTTTATGTCAAGCAAAGCCTATTTGCCTATATGGACTGCACGCCACTGCTATTGGTACTTACCAATGTGACTTTTTCCGAGTTATATGTACTTTCTAAGCTTATTCAGACACCGCTGACAAACGGTGAAGGAAAGCATCGTGACGAAACCTGGACTTATAATTTCTAATAATAAGTTTGAAGTAAATCAAAGCAATAAGACTTTTAAAATCGCAGTTTTATTTGTATTCATACAAATTCTATCATTCAATTCAAAATAAAGAAAAATAAACCTTATTACAAGACCAGTAAGGATGCATATACATGTTAAATAAAAAAATTAGTGTATGTATTATGATTATAACATAATATTCTAATTGGGGTGTTTGAGAGTGTGCGTTAATTACGTTACATGTTGTATACTTCTCTAGACCTTCCATCTAAATATCAACTGGACGCGTTAGATCACATTATTGAAAGGCGTGGCAAGAGGCTTATCGACGATGATGCGCTTGTGAAGGCTCGGCTTCAAAGCCTCGAGCACAGGCGTAAGGTTGCTAGCCTTTCGGTTTTCTACCGGATACATTTCGGTGACTGTGCGGGGGAATTGCACAACTTGATTCCCCCTAGACCTTTCCATTATCGTACCACAAGACAATCGGCAAAGCGTCACCGATTCATGGTAGATGTTCCGCCCACACGCACGAAGCGCTTCGCTTCAAGCTTCCTTGTGCGTACGTCTAAAGAGTGGAATTCTTTGCCAGAGTCTGTATTTCCTGAAGGGTATAACCTGGGAGTCTTCACGGCCCGAGTGAATAGGTTGCTTATGGGACGACGTGCTCCATCGTAAACCGCATCATCGCTTACCAACAGGTGTGATAGTGGTCAAACGTCGCCCCATCAAATATAATATAAAAAAAAAATCTATAAACGTAACGTAATATTTTTATTACCTAAGCTTATCTCCTAGATCCACTTAGTACGAAAAACGTCTTACGTGAACATTTTTCTAGATTAAATTCCTCTAGTCTAGATCCTAGGTCGAGTTTTAATAAACTAGTACTTGCGTAATACCTACTAAGCTGATAACTTTTGACTTTGGGTGACTTTTGAAAAATATGTTAGAGGGAAAATGTAGTTTTAATTAGTTTGAGTATTTTATATAACGCCTCGGTGAAGGGTTGTCAAAGTCAAAGTCAAAGCATTTATTTCAATTAAACCATAACTTGGTACTTTTGAAACATCAATAAATACATAATAAATAATAGTCTGTCAGTTAGTCCGTCAGTGAAGCTAGGTGAAGCTAGGTGCTCATTCCAAAATGTAGATTCGAATGGAGAAGAACGAGCAAGAAACTCCATTCGTTACTCTTTTTAAAAAAGTATTTTCTACAATGTCTCTGATACATTTTCTAATACTGTAGTTGTT